AGCCTCAACCTGAACCCCCTCCTCCGTCCCTCCCTCCCTCCCTCCCTCCCTCCCTCCCCGAGACGACGCCAGAATTCAGAAAAGTTAGTCCAGGTGAAGGTTCCATGTTCTTGAGGCTGGAGGTGGGCAAGCGCTTTGATGAAGGCGCCCTATACTTGAAGTTGAGGAAAGAAAGAGAGGCGATGGCGTCTATGAAGATGAAGACGATGAGGAAATGGGCGATCAACAAGATCCAGCGCGGAGAAGCTCCTTTCGATGCCGAAAGTGAGGAGATCGAGGTCGAAGGTGAGGCCTGTAAGGTTGAAAAGCGCGGCCTTTCAAAGGGAAAGAACAATGAAGCTTGGCGAAGATTGGTTCATCACTACGTGCACTTCGCCGAGAACCTCAGTTTGGATTTGGCTCGGAAAGAATTCCACAGGAGAAAGTCGCATGAAGGCGATGAAGTCAGAGGCCAAATGGTTCCGCGGACGCCGAGCAAGTCTGAGAGGCGCGTTTACGAATTGACTCGCTGGCCATATCAAGATTGGTGCCCACGGTGACCTCAGAGGCGGTGTCGCATTGGTGGTGACTGATGATTGGTCGGTCAGCGCTTGTCGTTCCAACGCCTGCAAAGAGTCGTGCGCGCGTGAAGTTCATGGCTGAGCAGGTGAGTTCATTGGAAGCTTGGCGTATTCCAGAGTCATCATCGAGAACCGTCAAAGCATCTTCGACAATTATGCTGCGGGCTCTTCCACACGCAGGGTGGTTGTTGACCCATTGTAGAAGGAAAGGAGGTGACCCCACTGCGTATGATATGAGAAGCGGTCGAAAGTACAATGGCAAAGTTGCAAATGTTTGGTGAGAGAGTGCCGGCAAAGGTTCGTGGACGGAATGGAGAGGATAGATTCGAAGTTGGGCGCTGGCTTGGGAAAACAGACCGCGCAACAAACAAAGGTCTTCGACGGACGCGGACAATTCGACAGCTCCCAACACCGTTTGAAGGTGTTTGTGAAAGTGTGGCCTTGGAGCATTAAGGTGTGACAGTTCCATTGCCGCCAGATATGTCAGCAGAGCTCAGAGCGGAAGAGAAAGCAGAAGCAAAGCGTGAGAGAGAAGCAAAGAAGAGAAAACCAAACTTGCCACTTGAAGCAGCAATGGAAGATTTCGAAAGAGAGCGAGTTCGCCAGAGGCAGGCAGGGGTTGGTGGTGAAGCTGCAGAGCTTCCAAGTTCAGGCGAAGAGTACACACTTAGCAACGCAAGCAAGAAGGCTTTTGAGGTGACCAAGGCCCAATACACGATCCAGAAGACTCCGCAGGAGAGAAAAGAAGAGAAGGAGGAGAACGTGTTGAAGTAGGCCCAGAGCAGCTGGCAAAAGTTGAGGATGAAGGAACAAAAGAAGAAGTTGAGAGATTGGTGAGCATGGGGGTTCTTCGACAGCCAGAAGGAGGAGAGGTGCTTCAAGAGATTCCATTGCTCACGACGAAGCTTGCGATGGATTGGAGGTGGAGAGAAAAGAGGTGGAAAAGATAGACGAGAAAGACTCGTTGCCCGAGATTTTGCCTGAGGAGATCCTAACAGAACAGAACAGATATTTTCGCTCCAGCAGGTGGGCAGTTATTGTTGCGGTTGATTCCAGCCATACGCCAAGTCAAAGGTTGGAGAATGTTGACAATGGATGTGAAAGATGAATACTTGATGTGTCCACAACCTCGTGCGGTGAAGGTTTCCTTGGGAAAGACATTGGCAGAGCGGCTCAACTTGCCCGAGGAGTGGGTTCTTGGTAAGGTGTTGCCAGGACGACGCGAAGGTGTGGCTTTAGGAGTTGAAGGCGAAAGAAAGCTGGATTGGTGCATATTGGTGCCATATCCAGAAGCCCCGACATTGTGGAGAGGCGATGGAATCATTCTGCTGGTCCATGTCGGTGACGTGATGGAGAAAGTGAGCATTGGCCAGGACAGTTGGCTTGTCAAACGGCACCTCAAAGTGGCAAGTCAAAGACGAAAGGCAAGAAGAAATGAATGGCGAGAGCAGCTTGGACGGCGCTGCATGGAATTTAGAACTGGACGTTTCTTTGGAGTCAAATTGAGTAAGCCTACGAGCCGAAGCAATTTCTCCTTGTGAAGATGGCAGCCATGACACATGTCGAAAAGGCAAGGGTGTCAACCGGTTGTGCATTTGAACTACATGTATCTTCACCTGTACAAGGCTCAAACTTTGAGGACGCGGAAAAAGTAAAGTATATATGTATATATATATAATATATATTATTCTATATACATGTTCATTGGATTGTTGTATATGAATTTTTTGTTTCTTTGAGGCGAGGCGGGCGCCCCGAAGCGGGAGGCCAGAAAATCAACGTTTGCTGCACAAACTGTTTGTGCGGTTTGTCTAGCGCTGCAGGCCCCAGCAGCTCGCCCAACGGGCCAGCCTGCTTGTACGAAAAAACATGACCCTGCTCAGTTGGACTTTTCGAATTCCGACTTCAGCTTTGGTCTCACTGTAGGGTGGTCCTTTGGACAATTTTGGCGAAACATGAAAAAACGTGATTAGATTTTTTCTCAAACTGGTTTTTAGTTTTCGTTTGAACTCGTCTAGCGATTGCTTTGGTCGTTCCGACCGGGTCACCGACGACTTCGGCCAAACCGAGAAGTCGGCGCGAGCGAAGCCTCGTGAGAGCACATGAAAGCGCTTTTCAAAGTGTCGCAGCTCCGATTTTATCAGAAAAAATTGACAAATCATTTTTTTTTCATTTTTGTCTCGCATTTTGTCGCCCAAAACCACTGGTCAGTTCTGAACATGAAAGAGATTGGAGGACCAATGTGACTTGATTAAGACTTGTTGCAGGGTCAGGGTCAAGTGTGCATTTGGTCAACCGACATGTTTCTCTGAATGTGTTCTTGTCGACCATGATGTTGAACCAAAAAATACATGTTTCCAAGGGATATGATATAAGGTTGGACACCATCGCTATTTGGTTGGAAACCAAGTAGGTTGGAGGCCATCGCTAGTAGGTTGGAGTTAGTATAGTATAGTGTTAACGTGTAGAAAAAAACATATATTGGGGCAACAAAAACGTTGTTTGAGGGGTGAGCTCTGAGCTTACAGAGCCCAATGCAACAACATGAACACTTAAAACGACCACAACCAACACAAAGCTACAGCTCAATAGGTCAAATGGGGGTTGGGGCAACCGTGGGCCCGGATTTATGCAATGAAGTACAAACCAGTCTGAGGGTATGAAACATGTTCAAGGAAAAATAGGGTACAACAACTCAATATTGTTTTTTTTTTCAATCATACGACGATGTTATTGGTCCATGTTGTTTTCATCGCAAAAAACTACGTACCCTGGTGTCGGAAAAAGGCAGTCCATTCTTCTTGCCGCATGAGCTATCCCCAAGGAGACTGTTGCCATCAATGTTTGCTGTAATTGTATCGAACGGAGTGGCTGTATATAATATATAATACATATAGACTATCCAATGCAGTTATTGTACAACATAACTGTGTGTCACTTTGTACAGTTGGACACAAACAGAAGACATTAGGGAAGAGATTCGGAAGAGAGGAAACGCTGGTTTGGAACACAAACGTTGAACATATGCGAAGAACATGTGACCATGAACGGATTGATGTCAAGAATCAGTATATAGGGGCTCCTGGCATCGCTACGAACGCAATCTTACTTCGTCACCAGTTTGTCTTGTGCTCTCGGACGTGGGCCCGAGCGGGATGCGGTTTCTCGTCGAGTGCTGTCTCGCACCGCACAGTACTCACGGCACTCAATCGCGAAAAGTCTTGACCAAAGAGAAAACGAAAAGAAACGAGTGAAATAAACACAAAAAAAATGTTATTTTTCACTCATGTTGGTCACAGACGGTTAAGGTCAAGACTTCTTGCCACGGGAACTCAAAAAGAATCTCGCTTTACCAAAGCGGCGCTTTTGTTGAAACCGTTTCAACATGTGTCACACACTGAACGTCCGTTTGTGCTTCATTCGCGTTAGAGAGCTTCTTTGGACCGTTCTTTGCGCTTGGAGTGGTATTCTTGACGGTTCTTCTCTCAGGATATGGCTCAACGGCTATGAACTCATGGAATATCTGGAAGATGTCGGAAAATACGACTAGAAACAACGACTTTAGACAACGGAGCCAGCTACAACTTACCAAACAGCTTTTCCCAATTTGTGAATGAGCAAGCGGAAAGGAAAAGGAGAAAACGAGATGAAACGAGAAGCGACGCATAGCGACGCATTGTGCCATGCTTGACGTTTGACGCATTGTGACGCCATGACCAAATGTCTCGTTCTAAGGCACGAGACAAGCGAGACACATTTAGTCAAAAGACTCATAGTCCAATGACCCATTTCCATCCATTTCCTTTCCCACATCGATTGTGTTTTCTTTAGCCCGCCCTTGCTGAATTAATTTAGGCTCCTACTTAAGTAAGGGAGCAGTTCGCTCCTAGCTGAGACGCAGATATGACAGGATAGCCCATGCGCACTGATTGGCTTGTTGAAACAGTTCGACAATGCACCGGCTGTTCAGGCCACAGAGAGGAACGAAGCATGGAGAACGCTTGGGAGCCCAGAAGGCCGAAGGAGGCCGAAGGAGGCCGAAGGCAACCCTAGTAGCTTCTTGCTCCTAGTAGTAAGGCACTTGTTTCTAATAGCTTCTTGTTACTACAAGTAAGGCACTTGTTACTAGAAGCGAGGCACTTGTTTCTAATAGCAAACATTGTTACTACAAGTAAGGCACTTGTTGCCCCTAGTAGCGTGGCACTGAAAACGACATCTGGAGACGAAGACGCACCGAAGACACACGGCGCGGCGCTTGCCTTGCGCGCCACCAAGACATATGCATTTTGTTTGTCTGACATCATATGTTTTGCTAGTAACAAGTGCCTCGCTAGTAGTAACAAGTGCCTTACTAGTAGTAACAATGTTTGCTATTAATTAGAATTCTATTTAAATTCTTATTGTTACTACTAGCGAGGCACCTGTTACTAGTAGCGTGGCACTTGTTACTAGCAATTCTTAACGACATCTGGAGACGATTGTGACATCATGTGACCATGTGTGTTTGTATGGTGTATGCATATGCTCGGTGTGTGCATTCTTTAGTAGTTCCGTGCGACCCAACCAGCATGGTTTCGCACAATGCCACAACACAAGCACTCTCCTTAAGTGCAGATGGGTTTGATACAAGTATCATCGCACGGGAGTTGCGGGGAACCTCTTGATGTGGGATCCATGATGTTCCAAGGCCAACCTGGTGCAAGGTGCGCTCTCTTCACACTCTCCTGCCACAATCTTAAGGTTCAGACAGCCGTGCACTTCGTTTTGGCGGTTCAAAGCGTGTCTTCATGTTCCTTCCTTAGGTATCAACGCTTTGAACTTTGCAGATCGCTACGTGTACGGAGACTTAGACCAAACAACAAAGGATCGCACAAAACATGCGAAGCCAGAATTTGCTAATTAGCACTGCGGGAAGGTCAGATACTTGCTAGTTTGCACTGAGTACTTGGTGACAGATCAAGATATCAGATCTCAAACATGCAATCTGAGGCCAGCTGCGGTGAAGACTTCTATGGAGAAGGAACGGATGAACGCGACATCGATCAATATCTGGCTTTCTGTGGCCTTACGCTTTGAAACAGTGGGGATAACTCCAAAACACCCGGAATTGTGTTGATTTCAGGACCTTCAAATCAATGACTGGCAAAGCGCTCTGCCTTCCATGGCCATGACTGCAGCCTGGGGATTAGAGCTTTTTCTGTGTTGATCCCACAAAATTGTAAACAAATGATCGAAAGCTCGAGGTCTTCACGGTGGCTTCCTTAATCTTTGGTTTCCTGGCGGATCGGGAGATCCTGGATCGAAGGTGCCGAGCTAGGACGCTACGAACGGAGCAAAGGGCATCGCTACTAGGAGCAAGGGCCTTACTAGTAACAAGAATTAGAATAAAATTCAAAGTCAGAATGTCTTTCTCCATTTTTCTCCCCCTCCTCGACAGGATCATCCTGGCCTCCGGTATTGCTTTCTGGTCGTTTGCCACGGCTTTGGCCGGATTTGCGCAGGAGACGATCAAAACGAAATTGTTCTTCAGGCGAAAACATTAGAAACAATGATGTTTGCTTCACATGTTAGACACCTTTTGAAACCTTCCTTTCCGTTCATCCTTTTGGGCTTCCGGGACGCGTTGGATCGAGAAATCGCGTGAGCTCCAGGACTTGATCCAGCTGGTGGTCTTCCGTGCACTGGTGGGAGTCGGAGAGGCCGAACCTCCAGTGCCTTCAAATAGCTTCTTGTTGCTACTAGTAAGGCACTTGTTACTAGTAGCGATGCACTTGTCTCTACTAGCTTCCTGTTACTACAAGTAAGGCACTTGTTTCAAGTCGCCGTTTTTGCTGATTTCCTGAAGTCGCCTTGTTTCACTTGCGAGGCGGCCTTTGCAACGATTGCCTCACCCATGATCGCTGATTTCTACCCAGGAAGAAAACATGTATCGATCCTGGGACCGAGAGGAAACAACGAAAGGAACGACGAGGAACGAGACACTCGAAATCCCACAGGACCTCAGCGAAATCGCGCTTACACAATATTTGGTCTCAGCCTGGGCAGCCCAGCATAGCTCACTTTAATTAGCCATTTTTGCTTTCTTAGATGGCCTCTCTTGGTGCTTAAAATAGAACCGAAGAACGCTGACAGATGGTTTAAGTGGCTTAAGATATGATTGGAACATGCAAATCCATTGGCAGTGCAAAATCAGCCTCCAAAAATCTTGCAGACTGGCAGGCAGACTGCGAACAATCGTAACTGCCTGTCGCTTTGGGACGTTTGACGTTGAAAACGGCTGTCAAGTTTCGATCTCACCTTTTTCCTTCGTACCACCGATCCTTGTGTCCTGTTCACACCTCGACCTTTCCGCACCTTCGGGTGATCCAACCCGTCCAACATGCCGTCCACAACGCATGACTGGCGATTCTGGCACTTCTCATAGTGCTGTGTTCCCCGCAAGCCAAAGTGAGTGGCGTTCCACGGCATTCCCACTGAAATTGAAGTGAAGCAACTCAGATCATCTTGAAACAATGTTTTTACGAAAGCCAGCCGACAGGCTAGGCTTGAGCTTATAGACCGAACGAAGTGAGTTAAGGGGGTGTGGGTGGGGGTAGGAGGCGAAAAGGCACCATTTGAGAGGGTGAACCCGGAGCTTGCCTGGGGAGAGCGCTCCAAAGCGAGGGTCAGAAAAGCAGTGAAAATTGGGTCTGGTGATGCGAGTGATGCAATGGACGCTGAGTAGTGCATCATTAGCAGCACGAAGGGCTGTGGAGGCTATTTGGAATGTACAGAACAACCATCCTAGTCCCTACTATACTTGAGAAGTCTGATGTATTGGGGCCAGTATGGTAGTTGGTTGGCAGCGACAAGTTGCTATCAGAAAAGGGGCCCGTGTAGATAGCAACTTCGTGGGGTGAAGAGATTGGTGTGGCGACACTCATGTTGAAGCATACAGTGCCTCCCATCGTCCTAGTAAGCATGTGTTACTTAGATGGTTTCTTCTTTTGACCCTCTCGCCTGGCGGCTGCTGGCTTTCGCATCCCCCCTTCTCAGGTAATGTTCTTCCCCAACAGCGAAGCTAGGGGTCTTCTGCCATAGTAAAGGCTTCGGAGCAGATTCGGAGCAGGCTCCGCAAAGGTTCCGGAGGAGGTTCACTGTGGGGCCTGTGAAGTTGGCCTTGAGCTGTTGTTTCATTTATTATCTATTATACTCTTGGCTTCGTGCTTCGCCTTTCGGAGGAAAGCATCTGACAGACGGATGGATCAGATCGGATGGATCTCTTCGTCCCTCGGATGGACGCGGCGAGACCCAGACTCCTCATGCTGCATGCCGCATGCTGCCGCATGCTGCATGCTCTTCATGTTCATCCTTTCCAATTTTTTTTGCCACCATTCCACATCCCGATCTTTTCCAAAAGCCAAGAGGACTTCCCCAACACTGCCGTCACTAACGAAGGCCCTTAGCACACGGCAGAGCGTTTGGCCGGCGCAAAGCATACCTTTCAATTGTGCCACCTTTTTGTTGCCCCAAAAAACGGATTCCCCAAGATCCAACCTGTCCGAAAAAAGGGCCGCCAACTGCAAGCGTGTGTCCAGGTGCAGCCTTGCAAATCACTTGTTGACACCCCTTTGCATGCCAAACGGGCACTGAACAAAGAAACAAAATGGGTAAAGCTGTACCAAACTGTGATGTTTGTTTCCAAGTATGCCCACCAGACCACTTAGGTGCCCCAGTGGGCGCAGCCATCGGATTTGGTTTCGCTCCAAGAACGAAGCAGAGGTGGAGACACTGGCTCTCAAGGATTTTTATTCGCGTTTTTGAGGCATTGGCTCCATGCTGGGTGCCCACCTCGGCCCCTTGGCACCGGTCGGAGTTTTCCTACTAAACACGTCTTAGGACCTAGACCATCTGCAACCGCGAACCGTATGCTGAGGTTGGAGATATGCCTTTTTCGTGTGTGGCTTCCCTGGTGTCATGGTCGTCGGAGGGCTCGGAAGTTCAATGACAGAACCAGTGAGAGCGAACCAGAAATAAGTTCTTTTTTGTTTTATATATATATACATTTATTATCAAAACTTTGTTAGACTTATAGTTATATACTTATTATACCTATTTGTGGAGAATTTCAAGGCATTTCATGTCGTTGCAGTTTTCACCTGACCGCGCTCCAGAGAAAAGCCCGACAATGAGAACTTCTCGCAGAACAAGAAAGAGATCGTGACGTGTTTTGAACACATCGAGAAGATCCTCAAAGTCAACTTCACAGATCACGACGAGGTGATTGTCAAAAGAGATCAAGCCGAAAGCGAGAAGAAGAGAGCGAAGAATGCGAAAGATGACGACGAGGATGTCGAGATGGAGGATATCGACCTGCCCGAGGAGACTACACCTGGGCGAGGAGTCACAGACCCCTCCATCCGAAGAACAACCAAAGTCGAAATCATCGAGCAGCAACGATGACTATAGAAAGCCGTCGAATCCATGAAACGTTCATTTGACAACGCCACTATCATTAAAAGATTTGATGAACCTGTGGACATGTGTTCAATCGTTGACGATGTGGAAGGAGGTGTCACTTGAGGGTATGTTGACGAAGGCGCAATCAGTGGGCTCCAAACTTCTGAAAGTGGCAGGATCTGAAAGACGATTCAAAGCAAGTGCACAAACAAGCGTATCATCGACAGATTCAGTTGGATTGCGATCGAGGCAACATTGAGATCATTCCGCGACATGGTGCAACCTTTTGCATCAGAAAGTGGAACGGTGAGGAAGATCGAGCTGGAAGGTTCATCGATCCACCTGTCCACAGGAACACCGACGAGTACGCCGCCACGGTCGATGGAATCAGCAGAAGACTCAACAGTCCTGAGACATCAAACCGGGAAGGCGGAGGTGATCGGACTGTCAGGTAAACACCATGAAATCCTTCCGTGCAACGAAGGAGGATGGGTGAACGTCAATGATGTGTACGGCCACATCTTCAATGACAACAGCAATCGAATAGTCAGAGAAGCAGAGCATGGAAACTATCTGGATGTGGTTCTTGCTACACGGTACCGCCGGTGTTGCCAAGCCATGTGGTACTCAAAGAAGATGCAAAATCGAGCCAGATTCCAGAATGCCGCGGTCCGTATTTCGATCAGTGCATGATGTCATGAAGGAGGAACAGAGAGAATACTGGTGCCGAATGATATGAGATGTTACAGGGAAAATGACAGATGGCTGCTTCCAGTAGCAATGAGGGCAGTATCGTCGCACAACCTGGAGTCGAGACACAGCGACAGGGATGAGAACGACGTCGCCCTCGACCCACGTCTCACTTCACATGAGATCGCAGACTCCATCGCAATGCAGCTTGGGGGAAGCTTCCGTGTGACAACTCTTGGGAAGATACCATCGATAATTAATGAAGCATGGAACCCTACCAGGTGGAGACAAAGGCAAGTTCATTCTTCAACCGTGGGATACGAGATCATCTACACTGTTTGAGGTCAAAAGTCCCTACGGATGATGTTCCAATAGCTCTGTACGTACCTATTTCATACCTACAACGTCTCGGTGCACGCCTTGCCGAAAGTTCATATGTTGTTATGTTCAGAGGAGTGCCATGGGAGAGCGTCAAAGGTGCATGGTACAAAGAGCCAATCAGAGGGAAATGGCAAAGACTGTTGGCAAAAGGGGTTACTAAGACTAACCACCTCATCGCAGCGGCAACCCATTCAAACAAGATCGCAACGAAAGACCAAATCATCGAAAGGGCAAGAGAAATTGTCGCCGAACGCGCGAGGAGGGATGATAACATCCGCAAGCTCGATGACATTGTCAATGATTGTGATATCAAGAGGACAAAACAAGAGCCGTGGAATGTGATCATCGCCAGAACTTGTGAAGGCTACAGCAGCATTGATGGAAACATCCTATTTGCCCTGCACGCATGAACGTGACACCGAACATCTTCACTCTACGCCTACATTGTCACGGACGATTTCACAGTTGCGGAATCAGAAACACAGTCTCCACAAGTGACGACGATGATGAGGTGGAAAAGGGAGATGATGTTGAGATGGAGCAGGTGAACGACCCCGACAAGGAAGAGCAAGATGTCATCGACAAAGTGAAGATGGACGAGGTGAAGACTGCACTACAGTCTCAGATCGAGCCTGACGATGATGAAGAAGAAATCAGCCAAGAGCACATCGAGGACCTCAAGAAGAAGAGCTCAGAATCGAGAAAGGAAGAGAGTCAAGAAATATCCACTCCATCCTATGACGCCGACGAAGTCGACTACGAACGTGATTCACAAGCTCCAGAGATGATGAGCTAGAAGCTATCAACAGAAGCACCGCTGAGTTCACTGGATCGTCAGACAAGGTGATTGAGGAAGTTGAGACAGAAGATCAGGAGATCAGGTTCAATAGTGGAAGAACCGATGATGAGGACTACGAGAATGCTGGACCGAGACCCTTCAACCGTGAATACCTCGCCAACCACGAACTTCCAAAATGGTGTAGATATCCAGAGCCAGTACCATTCGACTCGCAAGATGAAGCTGGGTGCCAAGATACGGGAAAGGGATCATCAGGACTCATGGACAGATATGTCATACGATGTATGTCCCAATTGATCAAGCCCATGTACACTTCGTATCACCAAACCGGCATTGCCAGGTTCCGTGAACTTTTCTTGAAGAAGAGATTGGATGTCACGTCAGAATTCACCAAAGGAGTTTCCAACGGATTTGATGAGGACGATTTGCCCAAAGATCCAACGGAACAGCAAACGCAAGCTTTTGCAGACTCGAAAGGAATCACTCCAGTTGAAGCATGGCGCATGTTGTGAGGAGAACAATTCATTGGGATATTTGCATTAATTACAAAATATTGCACTTGGATACACGCCCGCAACCTTCAAAGAAGAATTTTGTGAAACTGAACTGTCCAATCTATAGTGGAATCAAGAAAGAGATCCAAGCAAGATGCCATGTCAAGAATGGTCAGAAAGTGCGTGAACGCAATCTTCAACGTCGCGACCTACTCATATTTCCGAGATGACCTGAACGACAGTGACGCGCGCAAGGGCATCAAACCGTTGGACATCATGTATTCAAGGCCTCTCAACAAATGGGACAGAGTAATGCTTCTGGTGATGGACCAAGCAAAGGTTATTATTTTGGAAGCAAGACCCATCATCAGGACAAAAGAGCATTTGAGCGTTGGCGTAGCCTGCTAGAGAAAGATCAAGTAGAGAGGCTGATGGACAAGCGTCAAGAATATGTCGTGGAAGGGAAATGGAAACCCAACTACCCTAGCTTCGCACCTGAACTTGAGCGACCACCATCCGAAGCAGCTTCATCAAGCCATCGTGCTCCAGCGCAAGAAGGACATGATCGAAAAGGAAAAGAAAGAGGGAAGATCTATGGTCATGCAGCAGGTCGACGAACATGGGAACAGATGAACAACTATGTTTGTGAGTGGCAGCCGCAGACTTCAGATCCAGGCATTTATGCTGCAAAGTTCCGAGACGGCTATTGGACCGATCCTAGACTTCGACAAGATCCTGGTCACTGAACAAATCGTGAATGGAACAATGCCAACTCGACGGCGCATCGAGAAGCCGAATGGATCGAACGCAGACCTCGAGTCATCAGAACCACCCAGCGAAGTTGGCGAGATTGGCATGGTGACCAAGAGGAAGAACATCGTGATGATGTTGAATATACAGGAGAAGAAGGAGAAAATTATACCTGACACAAGGCAAAGTCAACGTACTGCGTGTGACACCTTGAAGAGCATGTTCAGCGTACTCGCGCATGAACCTCTGTTGAACAAGGTCAGTGCACGTCGCTTGACCCTTGAAAGTCGTAAGAGTATCTGCATGTGAACTCTCTAGAATCGAAAAGATGCAAAGCTCAATCTACATCGTGACGAAGATCTACTGAGTGGAATCTAAGCGAGGCAACTTTCACTGTTTCACGAATTAACTTGTATAGCCAAGAGGTTGAAGTGCACGCTGTATACGTAAAAGACCGCTTAGTTTCAACAGTGCTGTGTAGTTAGAGTCTACTTTGATAGGTCTTGCGGCAAATTATAGCGAACCACTGTACATAGTCCACTACCCTTGAATTTCAAGTGTGACCATTGCTGACATGGGGGGTGTCAATAGCAGTGGGACGACAGCGTACCATATGCATGTACAGAATGCACTAGCGTGTCACGCCTACATTTGGCTCAAGACTCCCGTAGAGAAAGCGGAAAACAAGTGCGCGCCATCGCTGTCTACGAGGGAGAGGATAGTCTACCTACACTTCACGTTGGGCATATTACTTTTTACATGCAATATCAAATGCTGCTAGATGAAATAGAAACAACAAGAGGACCAAGAAACCCAGAAGACGCAGCAGCTGAAGACTCAAGGAACCCCGTTCCTTGGAGGAGAGGAAGAAAATCAACCAAACTATGAAGGAAACTGTGGACTATGGCAGCAGAGTGAGCTAAAATAGCTGATGTTCGCTCACACTACCGAGAAGGAGTGTCAAGAATTCTCAAGGTAGACCAGAGGTAGTTTGCCAAGCATGCCATCACAGTTTTCACCTGACCGCAGGCCTTTTGCATTCAGAGAAAAGCTCGCATTGTTATATGTTTAGCTTCTGTTTAGGTTATTTCTTTTCTACTCTGTTCAACATGTTCTTTTCGATCGTTATCTTTTTATAATCGTTTTCTTGAATCGTCTTGAATCGTCTTAAACCCTGTCCATTGCATGCTTGTATCTAGCTTGCTTGCTACCAAGGAAAGAGCACGTGGGAACGTGGACCACGCCATTTTGTCTTTTCGTCGCGCTCAGGCCTTTTCTGTGTTAGTCCTCAACGTGTGGAGCCCGAGGATAGTGACGGGAGATGGGCGAAAACGCAATCGAAGTCACTTTGGACTGATATCGCCCCACTCGGAAAGCAGATTCATGGGCCGCTCGGAAGAAGTTGGAAAAGAAGTTATGCCGGCAAGAGACCCCAAACAGAGTGGGCGTGAGGTGTAGAGGTGTAGCAGTAGAAAGTCTAGAGATCTAGACACATTGGGGTCCAGAGAGGTGATGGTGGTGATGAAGTTGGTGGAGATCGTGGTGACCGGCGGCGGCGGTGGTGGTGATGGTGGTGATGATGGCGGTCATGGTGATGATGGCCGTGATGATGGCGGTCATGGTGGCGATGGTCGCGATGATGGTGGGGGAAGAGTCACGATTCGTTGCCTGTCACGTACTGTGTGGGTCGTTTAGTTATGTTACCTCTAACTTAGTTAGGGTAGAAAAAGTAAGTTGTAACTAATTTATAAGTTTTACTTATAATTTCTTTACAAGTTAGTTATATCTAATTTATAACTAGATCTAACTAGAGGTAACTAGTTATACTTTTTCAAGGATTCATATAATTTAGTCGCTCTCTTTTTCTCTCGTCGCATCTGTTCATGCCAACGTGGCTGCTCCGTCCAAACGGCGCCATGACATTGTCTGAGTTGCGGTTCAGATAGAACCCCAGGCCGTGGTCTGCTCCAAGGTCAACCTCTGCACGGAACAGACATATGCTTTCCACGGAAATATGTACTCTAGGGGCCGACAAAGGGCCGACATGGGAAACCTAACGTGTGGGGGTCCCACTATTGTAATATATAAGGCCGACATGCCTTCAGGGGATGTCTGGGGGGGAGGGGCCGACAAAGGGCCGACGTCAGAAACGTAGCAAAACCTCGTTCCATGTACAAGTATATCGGGGCACATGTCTACCTCTAGTTTTGTTTATATATACCCCAACCCGCCCGCCCGGTCCCAGGCATTCCGCGGACATGGTCGCTGTCGCGGATCTGCTCTAGCCAAAAACTACAATTATCCAAATTATATATACGTTAGATAGAAACTATACTAAAACGACTTTACTAACTAGTTGTAACTTTAATATAAGTAGTTCTAACTAGTTCTAACTAAGATATATCTTATATATAACTAATTTGGGTGAAATTACGGGTTACTTATATCTAACTTCTTCAAGAGTAAGTTACTTATAACTAACTCAAAAACCATAGTATATAGCTACACGTACTTATTCTCACTTATTGAACTACAAGTTAAGTTGTGGAACTACAAGTTAACTTGTAGTTCATTAACTAAAATTATAAGTCGTCTAACTAAAACAACCCACACAGTATTAGAGCGCGCCGAAGATCACCTCCATATATCCAAACTGCTGCGCCTGCCACGAAATCTGCGCATCGAAGCAACACCGCTCCGATCCCCTTTGCGCTTGTCGCGAAAAGTCGAAATTTGGACTACCAAAGCATGAGGTTTCCCTTGCGCGTGCCACAAAAAGTGCCCGCCATGTCCGAAAATGCGCGCGGCGCCACTACGAGACCGCAGTTGCGACAAGCGCCCGCCGCGGCCAACCAGATTTTGCGAGCCTAGGCAGTCGAAATGCATTTCGGGCATTTTGAGAGGCATGAATGATTCATCGCGAATGTATTGTAAAAAGCGACGAATTAGCCAAACGCCCCGATGCAACACCTCAATTTAACACCAGTCCTTTCCCCCACAGGGTTTTCACATGTGACCACACTTTTTGTGAAAAACGAAACGAGCTCTACTTCTAGATTTGCATTTGCAGCAGCAAGGGTCGGAAGGCTGCAGAGATCTAGATCTCTAGATCTAGGTCGCGAGGCCCAGAGGTCTAGCGCCTGAGCGTCCGAAAGCCAATCGCAGGATTGCTTGTTTTCAGATAGGTTCTGGTGGGTATATTTTGACCCATCGCAAAATCACTTTGAAAACCCATCGCCGAAACCTATATCTTGAGGCCTTAAAAACCATCCCCGAAGGTAGTATTGAAAAACTGAAAAAACCTATCCCAAGAACCTATCTTGGATAGCAAAACTTGGTATTGAACCCAACTAGTTTCTATTATTGAATGGTTCCTACAAGCGGTTTGCATGGGTATCCTTTTCAAAATCTTTTTATTTTTGCTGGGTCTGCGTGGCTCTGTTTCAAGCCCCCAAGCCTTTCAATAAGCCATCGAAATGGGCATGGCTCTGTTTCAAAAATCAAACAAAGTCGTTGATCCTCAACTGGCACCCAAGAATGTATTTTGACAGAAGGAATCTGTACGCTTTTTGGTCCTGGTCTCTGCAGCTATGCGCCAAAGTGGCTATCTCATAAGTCCAAAAAGGCCTTGGGTGTTGCCACTTGGCCAAATGGGCCAAGTGATAAAAGAAGTGGCAACTTAGGTGTCAGCTGCCACCTCAAGCCACCATTAATGGCTGTTTTCAGCCATGCGTAACGCTAGAGGCATTTCCTGGCTTTGTTGCGAGCCTCCATGGCCACCTCATTTATCAAAAGACATCGGCTTCTGCCAAGATATCATAAAAGCAAGCCAGTGAACTGAGGGCCTTTGCAATGTGCAGTGCTACCTGTGTTTCGTTGGCTTTGCCCAATTGCTGGGGTGCCTGTGGCTGGGCTTGCTGGTGGGCTCCAGGCTGCTGAGGCTGCACTGGGCGCTGTCCTTGCCCTTGGCCTGCCAATTGCTGGGGTGCCTCACTGGCTGCTGTCCTTGCCCTTGGCCTGCCAATTCCTGGAGCGCCTGTGGCTGGACTTGCTGGTGAACTCCAGGCTGCTGTGGCTGCACTGGGTGCTGTCCCTGCCCTGCCAATTGGTGGGGTGCATGTGGCTGGACTTGCTGGTGAACTCCAGGCTGTCCTTGCCCTTGCCCTGCCAGTTGCTGGAGTGCCTGGGCTGGGCTTGCCAAAGTGACTGCTGGGCGCTTGGCTTTCTTACACTGCAAGGACAGGCGTCAAGTGTCTGAGCTCTGCAGCCCTACCTATCAACAAACTTATTGATGGTAATGTTTGTAATGTTTGTGAACCTTTCTGCAATTCTCAAGGTCTTGTAACCTTCAGAGATCCCTGACCACGCTTGAAACATGTGGTGGGGGCATTTCTTTTGTTGCCAACCACCACATATGACCACACGCGAAGTTCTTGCAGCCACACCCAGATCGACTGTGTGCAGCGTGTCAATTGCAACCCTGTATTGCTGCACACACCCCGGGGTCTTGGTGGGTTTGAAGGCTGGCTCTCTTTCGAACCTTTGGGTGTCAGCAGTTGCCAATTGGACTATCTTGAAAGTCCAAAGGAGATCGGTTTCTCAAGTTTCTATTGCAATTGCAAACCCGACAGAAATCAGGCTTGTTCCAATGTGGCAAACCCAGCAGATTTGCAAAGTATTCTAAATCTCCTTGGTATTGCCAAACCAAGAATGAATGGCCTCCCTCAATGATTGGCAAACTTGCCATCTTCTGGAACTGAGGTGGCAATGGCTCATTCTCAAGCCACCATGCGCTGGGATTTGTTCCATGGAACAATGCTTGAAAACTCCACGCTAAAATTTGCTAAACATGTTGCCAGGTGTTTTTCAATTGCTCTCTCTCTTTGGAAAATGCAGCCGAGCAGAAAGCATGGTCCACGACTTGGCTTTGCTTCAAGCCACTTGAAGCAGGAGAACAGAGACAAGGACCAAATGAAAATGTGAGGGGTGAGTCTGTGAAGAACTCAACCCCATCACCATGCAGCCACAAAAGGATTGCATGGTTCTCTGCATGCATTTCTGGCTTGGTCTAAATCGATTGGGCCGCCAACGAGCGTGGGTCATCTGGCTGCACACCTGCCCAAAATTGGTGGACCTTGTCCAACCCCAAACAAGTGAGCAGCCAGGGCAGGCAGCTGTCAAAGACAGAAGCTACCCAGAGATGTGGAAGGAAGAAATTCAAGTCCACCATGGTTTCAGGCTGATCCTCTTTTGAATCTAAGGCAGGAACCTTGATTCGAAAAGATGGGCTCTCTTTCAAGCCACCCAACCTCCCCTGATTTATCTTTCTGGTTAGAAGCCTGTGGTGGTGGTGGTGGATGGTGGTGATCAGGGTTCGGACTGAGAAAGGTCCACGCGCGCCACGAAATCTGCACTTCAAGGTCCACGAGGCACTGCGCCTACCACGAAATCCGCACTTCAAGGATCACAAAGTGTTGCGCCACTCATTTCGAGGTTCACACAGTATTGCGCCTGCTACGATAATCTGCGCTTCAAGGTCCACAAAGTACTGCGTCTGCCACGAAATCTGCAGCTTGAGGTTCACAATGTGCTGCGCCTGCCACGCAATCTGCACTTCAAGGTCCGCAAAGTGCTGCTCTTGCCACGAAATCTGGAGTTCGAGCGCTGCGCCTGCCACGAACTCTGCACTTTGAAGTTCCTCAGTGCTTTGAGGTTCACAAACCGCTGCGCCTGCTACGAAATCTACACTTCAAGATTCACCTGCAGCGGCCCTGCAACTGCGTTTCGCTGCAAGAACGCTTCCAACGACACCATCCAGATACCAAAACGCAGCTTTCGCGCGAGACAATTCACTGCACTGTCACGAAATTTGAGCGCATCGAAGGTCTCCACCGTGTCCAAAGTGCTGCGCCTGCCACGAAATCTGCATTTCGAAGTATAACACCACAGAAAGTTGAAATTTGGACCGCCAAAGCACGAGGTTTCCCTTGTGCTTGCCACGAAAAGTGATCACCATATCCGAAAATGACCACTATGAGAGCGCAGTCGTGCCAAGCGCCCGCCGCGGCCAACCAGTTTTTTTTGCGAGCCTGCGCAGTCGAAATGCACTTCGAGGATTTCGAGAGGCATGATCGTACTGTAAATAGCAACGAATTAGCCAAACGCCCCGATGCAACATATCGATTTTCCACCGGTCCTTTCCCCTTACCGTAAGAAACAGATAGTGTGACCACACTGCTTGGGGAAAAACATCCAAGACCTCTCTTCTTACAGTCTTGTTGGTGAATGCGACAACATGTCTTCCCATTGTTTGGATCTCCATCAAAGAACATATTGATTACTCGTCGGGCAAGTTAGAGAGCATTCTGCAAGTTGCAGTCTTGATAGTGAAAAGGCCAACCCGAATCAACGCACACAAAAAGATGTGAACAAATTAGTCTTTAGCGTTTTGACGAACACGCATCGCTACTAGTAGTAGAAAGAAGCTAGTAAAGTGCCAAATTCAGTATTTGTTCTTAGAAAAAATGGAGCCTGTTGCGGTCGGATGAAGCCGCGGGACGCAGCTCTGTTTTCGCGCCACTGGTGGCAGTGTGCAATGCCACCAGTGGCCGCTTCAGCCCTGTTGCCCTTCTCACAGAATTAAAAACATGTTATAAAACATGAGAGATGAGCCGGGTGGGCAGAGATACGGTGCTGAGGATCCCCCAATGGGCATCAATGACGACGCAGAGGCAAGACATTACGACCTGATTCAACACACACATTCGAATACTCATTCGCATCACTGGAATTGATTTATCAGACTGACAAAACAAAAAACACCATAAAACACCTTGGTGCCATAGCTGGTTTTCATGCTGGGTTTACTGGTCAGGACCCAATGCATTTGGAGGACAGTGACTGGGAATCAAAGCATGCAAATATGTGAGCTGTGTCGAAAGCAAACCGTTCGTTCAAAACGGTATATTTTGAGTCGATACCGTGGCGCCATGACAGGACAGCGAGTCCGACGAGGAGCACTCGGCGAGTCGAGTTGAGCTGGAAAGATGCTTTGAAAAAACGTTCGTTCGGTTTCGAGAAAGAAAAATAACGTCGAAACCAAATAAAGACTGTTCCATTGCCAACTCGCGCCAGTCCTCCGAATCGGACGCTCCAAAGCGCTGGTTCCAGGAGGAGACAAACAATTTGAGACAAACAATTTGCTCCAAAGCGCTCTTTTCTCCCGTCTTTGTGAGCCAACTTTTCCTCTTTTTCTCCTGAACTTGTTGTTTTCGACTCTCCTCGTCTCGCCAGGAAAAGCAGCTCTTGGGGAACGTTTATTTCTTCCTGGCCACGATGGGATCTGTGGCAATCCAATTTGCCCTGGGAGGCGGTTTCAATATTTTTGAAATACGCAAGTATAAGGTTTTTCATTGCCATTCGCAACGCTGTTCATCTCATCTCCATTTCCAAGTAGCTCCTTTAAAGCTGCTGTGAAGCTCTTCACACGTGCAGTTTCAATAACAAATCTTCACGCAATCGATGCCACACATCCCATGAATGCGGACACCATTGAAACATAACCGCTTTGAGTGGACACGACTTGTCATTGACATGTCATGAACGGTCAATTGTCATGTCTGTTCAAGACAACGGTCGAGAAGTTGCGCCGCCAAAAAAAGATGTCACCTAGTTGGAAGCGAACTAGAAGCCGCATATGGTTTCTTCGTGGAAGACATGTTTTTGGTCAGTAGGTCTGTGCATACGATGGAGACGGCTGTGACAAGAAATGAAGGAAACACATCGCATCAACAAATACTGGAAGACTTCTCCGCACTTTTTTTTCCTGTCTGTGTATCTCCGCTTCATGCTTCAATCGGGTCGGAAGGAAACGGGAGCGTGCCTGATCGCCTCGACCCGCTGGATCGGATCATTCGAATCGGACGCGCACCGAGCACGAGGAGCAAGGACTGCGACATGTCGCGCGAGGCCTCGCCTTCAAACCGAAGCGACATGTTTCAAACCATGTTCTTCAGCTCGCTCGGCCGAGCGGCCGAGATCGCCGTGTGGAGAAGTGTACGGAGACCACACGACGTGTGCACGTGTGCGCTTTTGGACAGCCGCTGCGGTGCTTCCCACAGGTCTTTTCTGTCGCTGGCGTCATCCTGAGGTGCTTCCCCACCTCGCTCACTTCTTTAATCTCAACACAGTGTGCAGAACTGAGCGAAGCTATGTTTGTTTCATGATATTTGCAGCATCTTCAACCGATGTTGGTTGAAGCGAGCTGATGTTGTTGCTGGATCATGGGACTCTTTTCTGTTTCTTGCACCCGGCCTCCTCAAATCAATCACTTCGCACAACTCGCGCATCAGCGCTCATTCATGCATACATACCACTCAGCTGCTTAATTAGACATGGCGCAGGAAATGGTGAAAACACCAGTAGAAGCACCCAAATGTTTCTCAGATGTCGCTGAGGGTCTCGGGGATGCTTCCCGACAGTGTGCCTACTTGCATCTTTTCGCTCCTCTCACCTTGTGTTCTTTCGGCACCGGTGTCATGCGCAAAATGTGACTTGTTTTGCTACGTGACTCAGTTCACTGACATGTTATGAGTGTTATGAGTCTTGTTAAAGTATCCCCGTTGACTGTGGAGGTCTCACAGAATGGTATCCCACATTCTTGGTTCGCTTCGCCGAGATGCCCGAGTCCATGCAACTTGGCAGGTTGCAAAGCTGGCCTCATGCCTCGTACGAGCGGAAGTGTCGGAAGCAGATTCCCACACCAAAACAGACATGTGTTTGTGGACCATTTTTTCGAAGAAATGTTCATTGCTTTAGTCATAGGGCCAACAAGCGCAAGAGGGGTGTGTCCCTGACCTCGCACATCCTTGCACTCCCGACTCGTCGACAATTTCAACCTCCATGTGCACAGGGTCGTTTCTGATCGAAACGAACACTTTCAAGCAAGGCTACAGGAAACAACCAGGAGCGAACGGCTAGTAGTAACAAGTGCCTTACTAGTAGTAACAAGAAGCAAGTAGTAACAAGTGCCACGCTAGTAGTAACAGGTGCCTTACTAGTAGTAACAAGAAGCTACTAGGAACAAGTGCCACGCTAGTAG